TATTTGCTATCTATATTTCTTTATCTGAGAAGTATGTTTCATCTCAGATGCCCATTTTTGGGGTGGGTCTTTGAATTTTGGAGGCCTGATTTTTAAAAATTCTTTATATATTCTACATAGAAGTCCTTTGTCTGAGGGACTGTTGGCTAAAATATTTCCGACTCTTTGGGTTGTCGTTTCACTCTTTTGGTGATTTCTTTTGCTGTGTAAAAGATTTCCAATAAGATGAGATCCCAGTTGTCGATTCTTTGTAGTATTTACCATGCAGTTTGCGTTTTGTTCATGAAGTTTCTGCATACACCTATGTCTTTGATATTCCTGTTTTCTCTTCCAGTAGATTTAGCATTTCAGTTTTAATACTTAGATTTTTGATCCATTGTGACTTTAGTGCATGGGGATAGACATGGGTCTAGTTTTAGTCTTCAGCATATAGACACCCATTTTTTCCAACCCTGTTTATTAAAGAGGTTAGCTTTCTTCTAGTGAGCATGTTTGACCCCTTTGTCAAAGACAAGGTACCTGAGTGTGTTTGTAGTTGTGACTATATATTCTAATTTGTTCCATTGATTCTCAGGTCTGGGTTGTTTTTATTTTTTCACTACCATATTGATTTTATCACAGTAGCTTTGTAATATAATTTCCAGTGAGGAATTGTGATGTCTTCTGCTTTTCCTTTATTGCCTGTTGTTGCTTTTGTTATTCTAGGTCTCTTCTGGCTTCAAATAAAATTTTAGGAATGTTTTCTCTAGTTTGTGAGGTATGCTAGTGATATTTTAATCAGGATTGTGTTAAATTCATACGACAATTTTAAGTATTACCATTTTCACTATATTGGTTCTTCATATCTATGAGCAAGGGATATATTTCCATTTTCTGATAACCTCTTCAATCTTCTTTTGTCTTTGTCTCTCTTAATATGGTATATTACATTTATTGATTTGTGTATGTTGAACCATCCCTGCATTCCTGGGATAAATTCCACTTGGTCATGGTGTATAATATTCTTGATGATTTGCTGTGTTCTATTTGCTAGTATCTTACTGCCTCCAAGGATGATTTTTTTTTCTTTTCTTTCTTTTTCTTTTCTTTTTTTGTATTTAGGACAGAGTATACAGGGTGTACCGGTGTACAGGGTCTCACTGCATAGATTGGACTGGTAGTGATACTCCTGTTTACAGCCTCCCAGCAGCTGGGATTACGGGTGCACGCCACCATGTCCAGTCTCAATTGCTGTCTCAGCATGCCCCGATGGCGGGGCTGGCACAGCAGGCCCAGGGATTGAACTCCCAGTCCCTGCGTCTGCCTAAGCAGGCACTTTAATCCACTGAGCTATTTGGCCAGCCCTCCAAGAATGATTTAGAGAATATTGCCTTCCTTTTAATTTCATTAAAGAGTTTGAGGAGTATTGGCATTAAATCTCTTAAATTTCTTTTGAGAAATTCAACAATGAATACATCAGGATCTGGGCTTTTCTTTGTTGGAAAGAAAGTTTTTAATTACATTTTCAATCTAATTGACTGATACTATGTTATTTAGACTTTTTATATCTTCTTGCTTCAGCTAATCCATGTATATCTGGGAATCTGATAATTTCTTCTGTGTTTTCCATCCATCCAAATTTTAAAGATTTTCAGAGTAGGCACTAATGATCTGAATTTCCACAGGATCTGTAATGATTTCACACTTTTCATTGTTCAATGCATGATTTGAGTCTTTCCTTTTTTTTTTTTTTTTTTTTTTTTTTTTTTTTTTTTTTTTTTTTTTTTTTTTTTTAGGCTTTATTAATTTTATTCTTTCAAAGAATGAACTCTTTAATTCATTATTTCTTTGTGTTGTTTTCTTAATCTCCATTGCATTAATTTCTGCTCTGATCTTTATAATTTCCTCCTTTTTATAGGCTTTCAGCTTGTGTTACTCTTCTTTTTCTAGAAGCTTGAGGTGCAGCATTAAGTTATTTGTGTTTTCCTGATGTGAGAATTCACTGCTAAAAATTTCTCTCCTAGGATTGCTTTCATTGCATCCCACAAATTTCGGTATGTTTTACCTGCATTTTTCTTTAATTATAGATATTGTTTAATTTCTTCTGTGACCCAGTGGTTGTTCAGGAGGATGATATTAGAGGGTTTTTTTGTTTTGTTTTTGTATTTAGGACAGGGTCTACAGGGTCTCACTATGTGGATCGGACTTATAGTGATCCATCTGTGTTCAGCATCCCAAGACCTGGAGTTACAGGTGCACACCACCATGCCCAGTCTCAGTGGCCATCTCAGTGCGCTCCCAGGGGTTGGGCCGGCATGGCATGTCTGGGATTGAACCCTGACCGCTGCATCTGTATAAGCAGGCACTTTAATCTGCTGAGCTATTTCGCCAGCCTTTGTTTTTGGAGTTTTGCTGTCTCCTTGCCATTAATTTCCAATTTCATTGTACTGTGATTAGATAATGTGTATGGGATAATTTCAGTACTTTGGCATTTATTTAAACCAAGTTCTGTCAGCTGGTATATGGTCTGCTTTAGAGAATGTCCCATATATAGCTGAGAAGAATGTGTATTCTGATGTTATTAGGTGGAACACTCTGTAAAGTTCTACTAAATCCATTTGTTCACGAGTTTGATTCAGTTCTGATATTTTTTTGCTGATTTTTTTGCCTAGTTGATCCAGCTGTTTGTGACAATGGGATATTAAGGTCTCTCATTAGAATTGTGTTATATTGCTTGTTTGATTTTTTTCATGTCTATTAATTGTCTTGTATAAATTAGGTGCTTCCATATTTGATGCATACATATTTATGATTATTATCTCTTCCTCTTGTGAATTTTTCCCTAAGAAATATGTAGTGACCTTCTTTATTTCTTTTGATCATTCTTAGTTTGAAGTTCACATTGTCCACACATTGTCAGCCTCTGCCATACATGTTATAATCAGTTTTTCTACCTATATGATAATACTGTGATTGTCAGAGGTCATAATCACAACCACAACCCAGTATCAAAGGATTGAATACCCAGTACTGAGCCAAATAGTAACTTTGTATCCTTTACAAATTGGGAAGGTAGGTTATTGGGATAGCTATAAAGAACCACCTACATATACAGGAAAATAGCATAACAAAGACAAGCCAATACATATCAGTTATCATCATTCATGTAAATGGCCTAAACTCACTGATCAAAAGAGACTGGCAGAATGAGTCAAAAAACAAAATCCAGGGTCTGAGAAGATAGTTTGGTGATCTAAGCACCTGTCTGGCAAGCACAAGGACCCAACTTTGATCCCCAGTACTGCATGCTGTGCCAGCCCTGGAACACTGGCCCTGAAACCAGGCATAGTATCACACACCTGTAATCCCAGGGCTGGGAAGGCTGAGACAGGAGGAGCACAATGAATCTGAACAGGTATAACATTCTGGCTAAGGTAGTATAGTTAGTAATAACAATAGTTTAAGGTACAGCTTAACTACTGACAAACTATGGGAACCATTAACCTGCTACTACAGTTTTCCCCTTAATGAAGTTACTTTTATCCTTTTGCAGGTGGTAGGGTGGTGGAGATTAAGATGGCTAGGGGATAAGATAAAAGTGATGAATGAGGTCAAATATAGCAGGGTCCAGGCTTCAAGGCTGGAAGTCAAAGGATGATCACCCCAGTTTTGGGAAACTGGAAAACACAGGAGGGAAAGAATGAAATAGAATGGAAAGGAGTAACCAGAAAGGGAAAAGACAATGTTTACTCATTTGAAAGTTTATATTAAAAAAGTAGTTGAGGAAAGTGAGAAAGAGGATCAATAGAAAAAAATGCAAAAGGTACGTAAAAAACCTAAACAGTAAATAAAGGAAGAAGTAGAAAAGAAAGGAAAAGAAAGGGGAAAAAGTAGATTCAAGAGAGGAGAATAAGAAAAAAATTCAAAAATGAAAGTAACCACAAAATACAGGACAAACCAAGACAACTTCCAACCAGACAAGAAAGGGAAAGCCAATAGGACAAACAGGAGAATAAAAGTAGTAAAATACCTCTGGTGTTTATATTTCTGTGATCGCATCCATGTCAGATCCCAGAAATGTGTTATGTACTCCTGCCAAGTTTGCCATAGATATTGTGATGGGTGTGAAGCTGATCTTTGCCTCTGGATTTGGGACTGGGACTGGTTTTCTGTTGGAGAGCTCCACTGCTGGCTCCTCACTTATGCTTCAGATGCTTTTATGTTGCTGATCTTGCTGATCCTGGGTGTCATGGGTTGCAGGTGATCTTCCTGCCAAAGGCATGTGTGTTCCTGTGCCAGCCATATCTTTTTATGTTGTGCATGCTTTCAGTAGTACCATAAAAAAAAAAAATACAGTGTGGAGCACACATAAACAATATTCAGTAACTATGCTGATTGCGTATGAGAAAGGAACTTGTTACCAAATATTCATGAATATCTGCAACATGAAAGGCATTTTGCTGTATTCTAAAGATAAATATAAAATATGTTCTTTTCCCCAAATTCTTGGTATAATTGGGTATATAAGATAGTGAAATTTATAGCTATTTGAGAGCATTTAGAGTTGAGGTGAACAGAAAAGGCTCTAAGGAGGTAGAATTAAAACTAGGCAGGCTTTGATTTTACATATGGAAGAAAGTCGTATAGGAGGGAATCAAAGCAAAATATGCATGGGGTGTTTGGAGAATAGTACCTAGAAATCTTGATTGAAATAAAGGTTTGTGTGGAAGAACAGTAACAAAGCACGCTAAAAATGTAGATTGGGATTAGATTTTGGAGGCTTTTAAGTGCTAGGATGAGAAGAAATACTTTACTCCATAGATAATGTAGAAACTTTGGAAAGAACTTTCTGACATGAATATTTTAAGAAAATTGAAGTAGGGCCAGTGCTAGGTGGTACAGTATAAATTATAAATGAAGTGACAGTGAGTGTTAAAAAGAAAATCTAGGCCTGCTGTACTGAAGAGTTGGATTTAGTGGAAATAAGTCACACTGGAGAGATGTCACAAAACTTTTATCATGTTACTTACTTTTGCATCACATATACTAAAACTGGAATGATATGGAAATTAGCATGGCCCCAGTGTAAAGATGACATATAAATTTTTGAATTGTTCTATATTGTAAAATGAATACTTAAAGCAGGTTTCTGTTGTACCCTGTTGATTGTGTCAGGTCTTTACTCTCCATATTCAGTGTTTTTCTTGCTGAAAGATGGAGCTGTTGTACAGTCTTACATCCAAAGAGCAAGTATTTCTAAAATATTTACATTTATAAATATAAATACTTATATTTTGAAGATACTCTAAATCCCCATGGGAAAAGATGTGTCAAAATAAATGAAAGGCAGTATATGACACCAAGTTAAATAAATTGTTTAAAATAACATTTAAAAAAGACTTTATTATGGGCTGCATAAGAAGAGAGATTAGGAGGAGAGGAATAATTTAAGATGATTTTGAAATTTTAATCCACAGTGACAGGAAATCAAAGGTTTTTGAGACTACAAAACATTCAGAACATCTGGACCAACCCACATGTTTTTGTGCATTAGGAATCTTGAAACCCAGAGAGGTTTAAAAAACATACTGAGAACTGAACTCACGACGTTGTACTTGCCAGGCAGGTGTGCCACTGAGCTATATCCTCAGCCCTATGTTTACAGATCTTGTAGGTCAGTAATACAGATAAGACACATTATTATTCTATAATGTTTAGGACCTCAGCTGGGAAGACGTCTTAGCTAGTGATGATTTGAAGTTAGGGGACCAAAACCATCTGGAGGTGTCTCAGGCTGGCCTTAAGCTGACTTTGTAGCCTAGGCTGGTCTCCCACTCACAGTGATCCGCTTGCCTCAGCTTCCCCAGTGCTGGGATTACAGGCGTGCACCACCGCATCTGGTTTTCCATATGTTTTAAGTTCCTGTGAATAATGTTCTAGTTTTCATTGCTCAAATTCTGTTTTTCTCTTAAGGTATAGCACATCTTTTAATTATTGTGTAAAATGTCTGAAACTTTTCTTTGTTTTAAATGATCACAATCATTGTTTGTCAGTTCTGTAGCCCTTAAATTACAAATGGACCCCTGAGTTACAATTGCTGTGACATACAAACAACTTGGTTGGTTTATTTATTTATTTAAATTTTTATGTATTTGGTATAGGGCCTCCCTTCGCAGCTTGGACTCGTAGTGATTCTCCTGTCTCAGTCTCCCCAGAGTGGGATTACAGACATGTGCCACAGTGCCCAAACCCAGTTGCCAGCTCAGTGCACCTGGCAGTGGGGCTGGCATAGTATGTGGTACTGGGAATCAAACCCCGGTCCCTATGCTTGCCTAAGCAAGCACTTAGTCCGTTGAGCTATCTTGCTGGCCCTAACAACTTGGTTTATGACTGGAATTTTGGTTTTAACTTATGATTGAGTTATGAGCCAAATGCTAGCTGCTTGTGCTTCCAGATGGTCTAGATACAGATTTAACTTTTAAAGAGTTTTGAAAGGAACATGACAACATCCTCTTCTGTATGGAGTTAACTGAGAAATCCTGGGCCAGTGTGTTTCAGGACACTAAGATCTGCTTGTATTATAGGAGAGAGACTTTGAAGGCTGTGTGGAGGAGCCTAAGCCTTCATCTGACAACTTGAGCTGCAAAAAACCCTTGGGATGAATTGAATTTATAAGTTAAGGGTTCACTGTTATTTATTTGGTACATAAATTATGCATTGTCAGACTGGGAATCATAGACTTTTAAGAAGTGAGAAGAACATCTGAGCTTTAACAGAAATGAGAAAGTTAAGTCTCATTTGTTAAATACTTAGTTTACAGTATGAGTGGATTAAAGTTATTTTTAGTCCTCTTGAATCTCAACTCATTAGCTTTTCCAATCTTTTATGTTATTTCAGCGATATTTACCTGACAAACTATGTCTCTTAGAATACAAATTCTAAGAATAAATTTTGATAATATTAACATCTAAAAATTTCGTATTTGAGGTTTCATTTTTCCAATCTATAGGCACAGGGTGATTGAAATTCATTGTAATTACTATTTAATATTCATTTATTTGATATGTTCCATTGTCAAATACTGTTGGAGGTACTAAGAGTGCATTAATGACTGAGTTGTACAGTTTCTCACATTAGGAAAGTTTTGGATTTTTTTTTTTTTTTTTTCGGAACCGGGGATTGAACTCAGGCCCTTGTGCTTGCCAGAGAAGCGCTTATTCTATTGAGCCATTTCCCCAGCTCAGGAAAGTTTCATTACAGTGATATAAGACAATCAGTGAGCAAAAGAATAATCCAATATATGATGGGGAAAAAATCAGAACAATGGCAGAGGCAGTGGTTGGTGCAGTAACATGAGAAAACTTTCTGGGGGTGATGATAATTTCTGTAGGGCTTTGGATAATTTTTTTAAAAATTTAATTTAGGGGCCGGGGAGATGGCTTAGTGGAATAAGCGCTTCCCTGGCAAGCGCAAGGGCCTGAGTTCAATCCCTGGTTCTGAAAAAAAAAAAAAAAAAAGTTACATTGTCTAAAAAAAAAATTAATTTAATTTTTTTATTCAGAAATAAATATGAATGAGACAGTTTCACAGCTAATTAATAGGACAGTTTTGATAATCAATACATTGTACATTGTTATATTCTTAGTGGTTACCAATAGTACAAGAAGCAGACAGGATATTCTGTCTAAACATTGTTAGTACATCTCTTTCTTCTCTTTGAATTAAGCAAAAGTAGTTGCAAATTTATCCTATTTTGTATATATAAATACAAAATGATCATTCCTTTGTATCATTTTATTGTCTGTCAGAGGTGAATATTCTATTGGCATCTAAATACTATAGGTGTTTGAATTCAACTAAACAATCTAACACTGTCTAGCAGTCTATAATATTAGTGGGTTATCCTCAGAAGTTATTGACTTGAGCCTCTTACAGCTCATTGTATTAATATGGCTTTACTTTATATACCTTGTTTTTATACTTTTCTGCTGGATGGTTAAGACCAAGATATAGCAAGACCTATATAACAAGAAATGTAACTTTTGTATCTGATAAGGTCAGCCAAGTACTCTCAGGATTTAAAGGCTTTGAATAATTGAGGTACAGTATATAGATATATATTGTCTTTTAGCACACTTTAAGATTTGTACATTTCATTTGTGTAAGGAGTCTAGGGTATTAACTTTTACTTGAAGCAATTGAATAACCTAAGTTGTTTGTGAAAAGGATAACCACCTGCCAAATGTTACAGCTTTGGATAAGTTGCAGGTTTAGGAAGAAGGGATGGTACAGATTTTTAAATAACAAGATGGATCCAATCATATTCCACTTTGTGATTGGATCTGCATTGTACATAATATCACTCCAGAGCAGAAATTTTAACTTCATATTGTGACAATGTTAATGGAGTCCTGACCCAAAGAGAGGCCTTACTTCAGGAGTTCTAACACCTGGTCCAGTTACTCACCATAAAAATCAAAAAGTATTGGTGAAAAGTGAGACAAATTTATTCAGTGTAGTCATACTAAAAGGACAAGAGATGACCAAATGTCCTCACCCTTATTGTTGAAAATACTGACAAGGGTCCCAGGATTCTGTACAGTAAGAACTGGGGGAAGGGATGAGAAATAAGCATTGTTAAATTGTCTTCTTCCATCTATGAACTGGTTGATTGTTATATCAGGTCTCTTCTGTGAGTTCCTCTTGACTCTGGGGAAGTCATTCTCACTTGAGGAGGCTATCCAGGTTCTATCATAAGATGATTGCCCTTGCTTAGGAGGGAGCCTTGGTTGCTGTCGTCGGCTAGCTAATTGCTCCCACTTACTGTGGCACTACTCTCATGGGGTGACATGCCTGTAGGATTTAGTGGTTTTAGAATCTTGAAACTGTTTTCAGCTTGGTATCTTCAGATGTGAAGAGGGCTGAGAGAGGATAGGTAAATTTAGGGCCAATCAACCTTGTATTACTGGTTTTTAGACAGAAGCTGTTCGAGTGATTAACTGATCACATGAAAAGCTGAACAGAAATCTGACCCAAAGTTTAAGTAGTAAAGGTGACAGATGCAAAATGAAGGCAGAGATACTAATCTTTTATCCTTTCAATTCTGTATTAGGTATTTGTAGGTCCAATTTAAGAGTTACTGGTTTTGGCAAAAACAGCCTCTGAATCCCTGTGACAAAACCTGGTTCTGTATATGGATAGGCAGGTAGGCTATGTTGAGGCAGTCATAAATTTCTAGGCAAGGAAAGGTGACCACAGAGTGTTTTGGGAGTGTAGGGAGGTGAGGAATGATTAAGACTGAAAAGCAAATTTAAAAATAAAGACATCTAGTACAAAGTCAACACACTTAAAAAAAAATTGAGACATAAATTTTCTTTAGATAATAGTTTAAAGAGCAAATCTTTAACTTAAATGTAAAATACTTGTAAGTGTACAAGTTTGATGAATTTTCGTTAGGTGAACAAAATATGCCCATGTTAACCATTGCAGATCAAGAAATAGACAGTATTTATTACCAGCACCCTAATGACCTCCTGTGCTTCCTGTTGGTCATTCCCCATGTCCCTTGCTATTCTGGGCCTGCCAAGCTCACAGTTGTTGTAATTTTTGTTACCTTGTTCAAAAGCAGTTGAGGGATGTGGAGAAGAGTTTGAGGGATGCTCATGGTTAATGAATATTTCTGTTAAAAGAAATTAAAGCATATGACAGAAAGCTAACTTTTGGGTGCATAGTTGCTAAAAATTTCTTGGAATAAGGAAACAAAGACTCAAATCTTTGGATTAAAAGTATATTAAGGGGGCTGGGGAGATGGCTCAGTGGAATAAGTGCTTCTCTGACAAGCGCAAGGGCCTGAGTTCAATCCCTGGTTCCGCAAAAAAAAAAAAAAAAAGATTTTCAATCAAGCTAAGTAGAATAAACCTACATCAACATGATTGCAAAGAAATTGCAAAGCTGAAAATTTGAACTGTAGGTGGAATTTTGAGAATAAGGACCAGATACTTTTTCAAAGTTGTAACTTAAAAAATCCAGACACGAAAGATCCACTAAAGGACAGCAGGAAGAAATTAGTCCAGAAGCAAGGTATAGGATTCTAAAATATAGTGAGTATGAAGTGATGTAATTTTAG